GATTTATCATATTCATTTCAATCGTTTAGGAACAATTATTTCTGTTACTTTTTTATTCATTTTTTTATGAGACTTTTTGGTAACTTTCTTTGTTTTTGGTCTTTTCATTTCTCCGTCATCATCTTGAACTTCATTTTCAATACTCTCTTTAATAGTATGCTCTTTTTGAATTGAAGAAATAGATGTTGGTTGTGGAGTTTCGTCCATTTTCAAATGATTTGGTATCAATTGATTTATTTTTTAAAAATATAATAAATGGCACTTAAAAGAACAAAAATTGTTATTTGTTTTTTAATACTTAGAAAATTTGTTAATTCTATCTAAATTTCTTAAATCTTATTTAAAAAAATTGATATTCAGAAAAATTAGTTATTTATTTAATTATAGTTTATTATCTTTTTTGATTGGTCACTTCTTCTAAAAATAAATTATATTGTTTTGAGACTTTTATTGTTTTTAATTTCCTAATTTTATGTTTTTCTAAAAATTGATATTAATATTAGTAACAATCACATAGGGGAAAAGTGTGAGACTCACATGATTTATTCATGGTTTAAATCAGATTTTTTAAATATAAAACGTATTGACTCTTAATATAATAAACATCCTAATAAATAGAAAGAAATTTCATTTTATTTTATTTTATAAATGAAAAATGGTTAAATTAAATATAAAAAATGAGTTAATCTTATCAGAAGTTGATTAAATAAGTATAAAAAATATGTAGAAATTGAATTATTAACATGAAGTAACTAAGAGATGAATAAAAATATTTAAATATTATCTCATTAAAATCACAAAATAATAATTAAACTAACACTGTGAGTATGTTTGAAAATATTTTAGTGAATATTTTTGTAAATAAGATAACTAAAAATTATTTATGATGAACAAGATAAAATTTCATTACAAACAAAATATTTAAGTTATCATATGAATCAAATGAACTCAAAAGTAAAAAAATTATTGAGAATTTCAAAAAGTTAATATAACAATAAAATTAAAGAATATTCACAATGAAATAATGATTTAACAATATTGTTAAGGACAACGAAATATTTACAGATATAAAATTATTTAACAATAGTTCTATAGATGGTATCTTTGAGATATTTATAAAGATTTATTTATTTCTATTTCTTCTTTCTAAATACTTTAATATAATATAGATTCAAAGATTAGTACAAATGAAAATTTTAGATATAGTTAAATGACTGACAATACAAAGTAATAAGAGAAGAAGTGATAAAAATAAAAGACATAAAATAGTTAATAATTTAATTAAGTTTTATCCATGTGACAACGAATTAATGTTGAATAGAAAAACAATATCAATAGAATTTTTTATTATTAGAAAAGGTTATGACACTAATTTCACTGGATAAGAAGAAGAAAATATAGAAAAAAACTTTTGAGGTAAGTTATTTGTAGATAAACAACTCAACTTCTCAATTATACATGTATTAGAATAAATTTTTATATAATGTCATTGTTTAACCTTCACTTAGTTAATAAAAAATTTTTTAGGAATATTTTTATGTAAAGAAGAAACATTCAAATTACTGTTTTGTTCAATTTTTAAAAATAACGAAAAAGAACTGAAAGAACTTGATAAATATTTAAAGAATTGAATAATGGATAATGAAAGCTTTGAAGGTTCATTTGATGAATATTGTAAAAACAAAGGGAAAGACAAACCTTATTGTGTTGTTTTTGAAACTGATATTGTTCAAATGAAGAAAGAGTGGGACTTTTCATTTATTCCAACCATAGAACTAACTCTTCGTTTATTTGGAAATTACCCATACAGCATTATTCTTCCTAAGACATTAGTTAAGTTAACTATTGAAATGTGGCACGAAGATGGCCAAATAATAATTCCACAATTTATTTATCCTGAAACAGGGTTTAAGGAAATAACATTCAGTTCATTGCAAAGTAAGGATCAAGTTGAAATTCCAGTTCCACAAACAGTCAATTCAATTTCATTTTTATCGAGTTATAATGTTGTTTGTATTAATGAATTGCTTCATATTAATTCACTTGAAGTAACAGAATCAAATAAATGTTGTATTCAATCAAAACACTCACAACTAATAATGTCTGATAATGAAGTATTTATAAAAAATATTAATGAATTCATTTGTTTTGCATTATCTACTGATAATTATCAATTTGATACTGTAAAAATGGCATCTATCACTACTCCAAATCAATCAATTCATATTGGTTCAAACCATATTGATTCTTTAAGTCTGGCCTTTGATGCATCAGATATTTCTGATACTAATAACATTGAGTCAACTCATATGGACTTAACAGAATTAACACTCAATTCATTAGAACTTACTGGGTATGAAAATTCTTCATTTATCCTTCCAAATACATTGTCTACCTTAACCATCTCATATTGTAAATCTCTTTGGTTATCAACACTAACTGGATTTGAAAATGAACTTGATGTATCAACTGAGTGTTGTGAAAAATGTATGTTAAATAATTCTTTGTTACCATCAGATAGTCCGTATTAACATTACAATAATTAAATAATTCTTAATCTAAAATTGCTAAAATTCTCTTAACTATAAATCACCTTTTTTAACAACAAAAAATGATACAAACGTTTAATAAACCTATTAAATATATTTATCAACAAAGAACTACTATTTTCTTCAAACTATATTTTTCTTTTGTTTCGTTGTTGAGTCGTTTACTTCCAATACCTTCTTGAATAAAAACAAATGTATTATTTTTTTTTATTTAATTTAATTACTCAATAACAATAAACATTTGTTTCAATGAAAAGATAAATATCTTTTTTATCTTTCTTTTTTAATAAACTAAATTTCTATACTTGTATAGTAAATAATAAATGTACTGTCTCAATAATCATATCTTTAAGAAAATGTTTCTGTTCCACAAATTTGCTTTAAGAGCAAAAAATAATTTTAAGGACTTTACATTTCTTTTCTTTTTATTTGTGTTAAGTACTGGACCATAAAAACAAACCTACTCTTTTCACTCACATTAGTATCAACATCTTCTAAAAAAACTTTTATTATTAATTAATAAATATTGTTTATTCTTAAAGTATTTTATCATTCTAAAAAAATTTTTTTAAAATTGAATAAGAACTATATTAATAAAATGATTACTGGTTATTTAATCAAGTATATTTAATTTATTCTTTACTAAATAAAACTGTTTAAAGTTTTTCGATTGGTATTATTGAATTTACTCAGGAGTTTATAGAAGATTTATAACAATTTTAGATTCTATTCTAATAGTTCTTAAAATAAAGAATTTATGTTAATTTCTTAGATAAACTTATACTATAACTGAGTAAATTTTGATCAGGTTTAATAATTTCTTTTTCTTATTTGTTCTTAATTACTATTATTTTCTTTTAACTTCTCAATAATATAAATAACAAGTAAAAAGATGATAAAAGAAAAAATTTAAAAGATAAACTTTAAATAAATATATTAATTTTATTTTTGAATTTTTATCTTTTTTTTTTTCAGTTTTTTCTAAAATAGAATATTTTGAATCTTGACTTTCGAAGAAAGAATTGAAGAAAAAACCCAAATAAATACATTTCAAAACAATACTTAAACAAAAGATATATCTTTGAAAAACATTTTGACCTACGTTATGAAAAGACAACTGGATGGTTATTCTTTTCTTATTGTAGCACAGTTCATTTTACAAGAAGAAGACCTTGCTAAATTAAATTTCATCTGTAAAAAGTTTAAAGAAACAACAGAAAAATTTCTCTATAATCCAATAGAAAATTTAAAATTATTTCCAAAGATTCAAACCCAATATATCTATAGAAAGAAACAACGTTTTAATCCGAATATTCCAAGTCATAAAATTTTATATCAAGTAAGTTGTAAAGAAGCACAAAAACTTCTTTCTAATCCAACAACAGATTGCACGTCTGTTGCATATACAAAAGAAGATCAAAGAAAATGGAAAAATGTAATTCCTAAATGTGTAACTATTATTGGGGAAGATGCCTTCTTAAATACAAAATATTCTACTATAAATATTCCTTCTTCAGTTAAAGTTATTCAAAAAAGTGCGTTTAGTGGTTGTTTGATTAAATCAATTGATTTTCCACCATTTCTTAAAGAATTACATACAAGTTGTTTCTCTCAATGTATCCATCTTACAAAAGTAGTATTACCTATTACAATAACTAATCTAGCTGAAGGATGTTTTAATGGATGTAATCAATTATCATGTATTATTTTACCAAAAACAATTGCATCAATACAAGAAAAAGCTTTTTGTGGATGTTCACAACTAAAGTCTATTGATTTACCATTATCTTTAAGTTATATTGGGAATGCTGTTTTTTCAAATTGTTTCAATTTAAGTTCAATTAAATTACCAACAGGATTAACTTTTATTGGAATACATTGTTTTGATGATTGTACTTCATTAAAAGAAATTGAATTTCCTCCACTAATTCGTTCATTAGGTAAATCTACTTTTTTTGATTGTTCTTCACTTCAAAGTCTAACAATTCCATCAACAATTACATCTATAGGATATAATTGTTTTTGTAATTGTATTCACATAACATCAATTACTATTTCAACTTCTGTACGTGATTTTGGAAAATCTTCTTTTGGTGGATGTTATCAACTTAGACCTTTAGTATCTCTTCCAGACCAATGTTATCTTTAAGAAAATCTTTTAAGTATAGGTTTATTGTTTTAATATCTTTTTAAATAAAATAAACATTCTTAAGATCCAAAAATTAATTTGAAAACTTCTTATTTCTTGTTCAAGAAACAAAGAAAATTCTTATTTGATTTTAGTTTATTTATTTAATAAATAATTCAATTTTAAATTCATTAGTAAAAAATCTTGGAATTTATGAGTTAAAAATATATTAGTCATCAAAATTAGATGTTTCTTTAGATGGATAAATAAAGACCCTAATTAAATGTAGGGTGTTGAGACAACTCATTTAAAGAACTGTTAAAGACCTAACTAATTAGAAATTATTATCTAAGATGACTACTATCTTTCCTAAAAATTATTACCCTTTATTAAATTCTTTCCAAACAGAAATTGCAATTAGAAAAATTAAACAAGAGTTTGAAAAAAATTTAACATATGACTTAGACTTATTAAGAATTACTGCTCCTTTGTTTGTTGAATCAGGATATGGTTTAAATGATGATTTAAATGGTATTGAAGTCCCAGTGCATTTCCCAGTGAAAGGAATGAATAATAGTGTTGTTGAAGTAGTTCATTCTTTAGCTAAATGGAAAAGGTTACAATTACATGAATTAAAAATTCCTGTTGGAGAAGGTATTGTTACTGATATGAATGCTATTAGACCAATGGAAGATTTAGATAATATTCATTCAATTTATGTTGATCAATGGGATTGGGAAAAAACTATTTCAAAAGAAAATAGAACATTAGAATATCTTAAAAGTGTTGTTAAAAAGATTTACCATACTATTTATAAAACTGAAGAATATATTTGCAATGAATATTCTCAATTAAAAAGAAGACTACCAAAAGACATTACTTTCTTACATACTGAAGATATGGAAAAAGAATATCCTAATTTATCTCCAAAAGAAAGAGAACATACTGTTGCTAAAAAATATGGAGCAGTTTGTGTAATTGGAATAGGATATCCATTACCAATTTCAAAAGTAACTCATGACGGTAGATCTCCTGATTATGATGATTGGTCAAGTTTAACTAAAGAAGGTTATCATGGTCTTAATTGTGATATTATTGTATGGAATGATGTTCTTCAACAAAGTCTTGAATTATCTTCTATGGGTATTCGTGTTGATTCAACAGCTCTTAAAAGACAATTAGAAATGAGAAATGCTACAGATAGAGAAAAATTTATGTTCCATCAAATGTTATTAAAAGGTGAATTACCACTTTCTATTGGTGGTGGAATTGGACAATCACGACTTTGTATGTTCTATTTACAAAAAGCACATATTGGAGAAATTCAAGCATCTGTATGGAATCATGAAACTAAAGAACAATTGGCTCAACACAATATCTTTTTACTTTAATTTTTTTTAAAAAATCATTTATATTTTTATTTAATTTATCAAACCAAAAAATTAAATATAATATTTTTTTATATTAAGTCATAAAATTTCTCATATTTATTCATTATTAAATCATTTGATGTTTCCCATCAATAAGGAAATTTACTTTTTAAATCACAAATATTGTTGCAAAGTCTATTTGTTTGAGAAACTTACTGGAAAATGGTTAATATGGTTAAGTAAATAATGAAATAATATCAGGGATAGAAATAAAAGACTCTATATATGAACTTTCATTATCATAAGCAAAACTTAATTTAAGTCTTCTTGTATAAATTTCCACACTAAATGGGGAAGAGTTAAATTCAAACCATCCTTCAACTGAACAATAGAAATGAAATTCTTGATAAATCAAATTCAATACAACCAAAAAGTTCATCTCCAAAAATTGGATTATTGTCATAAACAAAAACAATAACATTAGACCTAGTTGTTCCTACAGAAATTATAAATATCGAATTAACGAATCTTGGTACAACACTTTTTATTTCTTTTGTTTTTTTTTCTAAAGGTCATTTGATACATAATATACACTGACGGAGGGTCTTTGCTATTTCTTACACTCAATAGTTCTGTTTCTAAAGCGTGAATAGTTACTAGTGAATTATGGCATCCCTTGATTAATACTTGAGGTATCCCTCACTTTTAAATCAATCAATTCTTTTATTGATATGACCAATCACACAACCTTATTTTTATATAATCCAAATGTGAGTCTGATGGTAATATTATTGACTCAAAGAAAGGATAAATTCTATCTATTTTATTTTCTTCTTTATCACAAAGACATTTATTAATTAATATGACCATAATATGTATGTCTTCTCTTTGTGTTGTAATTAAATGTCCACATCTTTTAACTGTATTTTACTTTTGGCTAGATAAGAAAAATAAGTTGGTAGAAATTCTAGCATATCTCATCATAAGAAGACATTAAAACATCGTCACCATAACTTTTTGTATACTTTTTAGTAAGACTTTCATCTATTGGTTTGTTTTCACTAATACTCATTGGAAAGGTAATAGATAGAGAGCCATCATCTAACATAAATAAAATGTGATGCCATAAAAATGCGTACAAAGAAAGAGAAGTTAGATAGAATATTGAATTCATAAGAACAATATTTTTAGTTGATAGGTCTACTATCTTTTATACTGAATTGACGTTGTACTTAACAATTAAAGTACTACAATTATTACATTCAAACAAAAATTGAGTTTTAATCTTTCTTCCAATAATATTTTTTGTTTTTCCTGTTATACCCATGCTGAGAACAATATCTTCTCCTCAGTGGTATGTTGTTTGTCTTGCACCGATTGTTAAGGTTAGTCCATTTAAATTTTGTTTAATTGTATGTGGTTTTATTTGAAGTAGTAAAGTATTAAATACAATAGAGAAGTCAGTTAATTTACCAATAGCTTTTGTCCCATTTGTTAAAAAAAAATATTGGAAGACTATATGCTTTAACCAAATATTGTTTAAAAAGAACACTGGACAATTGTTTGGTAACATAAAGACAAATGGGAAGTGATAAATTTCAGAAGAAAATTTTGTAGGTATTATACACATAGTTATTGGAAATAAACCAAGTGTTTTATTTATAATTTCATGGTCCTTAAGAAGTAGTTGTATGTTTTTCTTGTGAAAAGAAAAATGAGTTTCAGGTGTTTTTGAGATTCTGGTATTTTATATGTTTGTATTAAATTAATAAATCCTTTTTGTAATGTCATGCATAACCAATTATTGGTTCTCCACAATATATGTTTTTCAAGAACGATTATTCTTTCATTAAAACTATTGTAAATATTTTTTAATTTCAGATTTAGGTGTTTTCTTTATTTCAAAAAGTTTTTAATTAAATAACATTGAAATCCTTCCTTTCTAGTATAACTTTTTTTATTTATAAAAAAATGTTTTAGGTATATATAACACAAATATAAATTGTATTTGAAAATGAAATAATTACAAATTTGATTTATAAAAATCAGGTAGTGATAGAAATTTGGCTGCTTTAAAATCACTCCGAAATGGCTTTTTCAGAAAATGAGGAAATGAGAAGACCATAAAATAGGAAAAAAATAAGAATTAGAAGATTTTTAAACAAACTGACTGGCAACTAGAATGATATTTTAGATTAATAAAGACAACTAGAAAATAAATTAAAAATTAAAAATAATGGTAAATCCTATCATTTGTTAGACCAACAGTTTTTGTTGGTAAATAACAAAGTTGCACTCAAATCTCATTAATATATTTCATATGAGCTCTACTGTTGAACGAAGAAAATCTACACAACTTATGAAGAAATCTTCATCAGATGCTAAAATCCATAAGTCTAAATCTATGATAAATATTGTCAAACCAGTTACAATGAGTAAACAAGCACCAGGAACTTTTAAAGAAGATAAATATGATTTGAAAGTTACATTATCTGCACAACAACAATTAAGTTTGAATTTCATTCTCTATTATAAAGAAAGTAATTAGTTATAACAAAATAAAACAATTAACTTAATTTTTTAGATAATTTTCATAAAGGAATGGTTTGGGACTATTCATTTAATATTGATGGAACATTACTTGCTACAGCAGGTAAAGATGGTAAAATTATGGTTTGGGAAATTGTTGATGGGCTAGTTAAAAAAGAAGTAAAAACAATATTTACAAAACATACTGGAGAAATCGTTTCTGTAATTTTTATAGAAAATAATATTATTTGTTCTTCTTCTACAACAAAAGAATTGTTTGTATGGAATGCAATAAACGGTGAACAAATTAAAACTATTTCAATTGATGATGTTTGTCTATGCTTAAAATATTGTAAAGAGAATAAACGATTTATTGCTGGTTTACTTAATGGACAAGTATTTTGTTATAACACTGATAAATATGAACAAATTAGAGAATATGATGTTCATTGTGCTGTAACTGCAGTTGAAATTTATTGTGAAGGAGAAGAAGCTACTGGGTATATTGTTGGAACACTTGAAGGTACTATACTAGCATTATATGATTATGATGATAAGATGCAACTTGTTAAAACATCTTCATTGAAAGAAGACATCCTTATTTCAAGTATTATTGTAAATGTTAAAGACCGTATTTGCTATATTACGTATGCAAATAATAAAGTTATTATTTATACTTTAATTGATTTTGATATGATAAGTAGATATAAGGGAATGACAACAAATTGTTCTTCTATTACACCATCTTTAAATGACGATATGACACTTTTGTTTATTGCATCTAAAGAAGGTGGAATTTTTGTATTTCCAAATATGCCAGTTATTTCAAAAAAATCAATTGATATTTTTGGAGTTAAACTTAATCTCTTTGTAACTGATGGAAAACCTATTGTTCACGTATGTTATATTCCAAAAACATCAAATATTCTTTTAATAGATTGTGATGGCTCAGCATCTATTTTCACACTCAAATATTAATTGAATTATTTCCTTTTTCTTTCAATTTCATAATTAAAAATTATTTAACATAAAGGAATTGATTTCTCTATTAAATATTCAACTACTCTTTTATTTTACTCCTATTTATGAAACTAATTTAAAATGGATATTGTTTTATCCTCATATAAATATTATTGTAATGATACTAATACCTATTAACCTATTAATATTGATTTTGTTCATTGTTTCTCTTCAACTTAGTTTCTCTTAGTTCTTTTCTTTCTCAAAATAAAAATGAGTATGTAGTAAACAGAAGTTAATTTAAGACTTTAGAATTTTTTTCTTTTATTACAACAGTAAATTATGTATTTATTGTATTTCTTTTGTTTCATTATATAATCTAAAAGGTTTAAATCATTTAAAGAACCTCAAAAGATGAAAGATATATATTATTTCTTTTTAGAATAAAAAAAAAGAAGAAAGATATTTTATTTATTATTAATTCTAATTAATTTTTTACTTCTAAATGCTTCAAGGCGTTCTGAATAATATTAATTTGTTCATTCAAATGCATATCAATTAATTTGAATTGTTTTATTCTGTTAATTTGATTCTGTCCTTGAGCTATATTGATTTTTTCATTAACAAGAGGAAGAAGATCTTGAAGTACCTCCAATTCAGAGTGTAAGTATTGAACTGTTTTAATTTTGTTTCCTTCAATAGATGTATTTTTATTTTTTAACTCCAATTTCACTTTATTTACAGACATTGAATAAATAGCAATATATTTCTCAAAAACATCAAACCGAACTTGATCTTGAGTAAGAAATATCTCTGTAGGAAGATGATTTAAAACACAAAGCTCTTCATATAATGGTTGTGCAGACTCATTTGAAATAAAAACTTTTGCATCAAAATAATCTAATGATAGATATTCTTTTGATAATGAAAGAAAATGAATCATTTGATTAATACTACTATCATCTTGATAATTATCACAAATCTCTTCTCCAGGGTATATCTCATTAAAATTGTATAACTTAATTTGAGAATCTTTCATTTCTTTTTCTAAACAAGTGTATGGATTATGTTTAGGTAATATTGGTAATGGATTATAGAATTTACCAAATGAAGTAGTGATGATATGACTATCAACAAAATTAAATAATCCAACAAAAGATGGTAAAGAAATATTAATATTTGAATTCATCATAAATGCTTGGTAATTCTGAATTCCATCATCTTCAACACAGTTAATTTCATCAAAGAAATATGAGTCTTCAAATTCATTAAAGTCATTGCTATAGAAGGTCATTGCTTCAATATATTTAAGAATTAATGGAATAAATGGAAATTTTTTTTGTGCAACTTCACTTAATAAATATTCAATACATTGTAATATAAAACTAGGCTGATTTATTTTAGGATTCTCTTTTTTTATTATTTCAGAAGTAAGAATATAATGTTCAGGAATAGAAATAAGAATTTCTCCAGAATGAAGTATTTCATTAGATGTATTCTTTAATATTATATGATGGTTCTCATTAATATATTGAATATTTGGATGGAATAAATGAATTTGAGATGCCCATGCATTTAAATTATCACAGAAATTCTCAAATAAGAAATCATAACATGATACTGTTTCATAATTTAAATGTTTTGAAACTATTTGATCTCTGATCCTTTTAATAGAGGTTTGACATAATTTCATTGAATGTTCTATTATATCGACTATACCTTTTTTGTATATTAAAGCACATTTTTGATGATAGTTAATTGAATGTGAATGAATACAATCAAAATCTTCCTTTTTAAATTCCATTAAATGTAATAAATGATACAATTGTCTGTTTAATTGTCTTAATGCAGCAAGTTCATTTCTATCTGAAACATAATTTAAATTAATATTTCCTTGAAAATATTGATTGGATTCAATAATAGACAAGTTAACTATTCTAAGAATTCTCATCAATTCTAATGGAATATCTTCATCAAGTTTTAAAAAGAAGTCAAATGATTTAATCTCTTCTTGTTTAAGAATCTCTTCAATTTCATTATACTGATTATCGTCAACTTCAAAATAAATTCTAAGTAACAAATTATCACAAGGATTATTCTCTTCTACAAACCCATATCCTAATAATAATTTTTCATTTGACCTAATTCTATAATTATTAAATATTTGTTCACCTGGCTTTACTACTTCTTCATTAGTTTGAAATGAAAATGTTTCTGTACGTGTATTAGAAATATAAGTTACTTTAGCCTGTGTACAATGATTACTAAAATCACAAAATGGAATCAATGATCCAACTTCTCCAAATGGTTGTGGATAAATCACTAAAAATGCTCTTGACCAAAAACTTTGATGTGCCCATTGTAACCTTTTGAAAAGATCATCAAATGGCTGGAAATATTGAGGAAATTGTTGAATAAGTTTGTTATTATAATAATCTACAACTTTCATAAGAAAAGCATTAATTTTTTCTACTGCTACATATAGTTTTGTACCTTTCATAATATTTAATTCATCAATAGTATAACTTAAAGGGCAGTCATAAGTTTTTGGTAAAACATTAATATATGGCCAGTGAAAACATTTTGGATTTGTTTTGTTAATAGCAAGATATAAATATACAAGTCCATTTAAATCATCTCTATCGTCATCTCCTTCATTAAATTTAGGTAATTTTACTTCAGGCCAAATATGATTTAAATTAATTCTATTAATTTGAATAGAATAAGGAATACTCATAATGATCTCATCTTGTTTAAACTCTTTATTAGCACATAATCCTCTTCCATATCCTTCAAATGTTTTAACATCAACACCATCAATAATACCTCCATTCTGAATAACCCATTTCTTAATATCTTCCATCTCAAAGAAATTTTCTTAAAGAACTATGTATCTTTCTTTTTTGTCTTTATCTTTTATACTAAAACCCTTTATTAATTTTATTATAAAACTGTTATAAAGTTATTATAAAATATACTAAAAAATTTGAATTATTTTGAAATATATTTGATGTATTTCTTTATTCTTGCATTTCCTTCTTTCTTTAATTTAGCTATTTTCTTTTCTAATTCACTATTCATTTCACCTCTTTTTTCTTCTAAATTTACTGAAAGATCATACAACTCATCTTCACTTTCGAGTACAGGTGCAGTTTCATAATATTTCATCAATGCATCGTAATGTTGAATAGGATAAGGAACAGCTTGTTTAACCATGAGTTCTTTAATTAAATTACCAATTCCACGTATTTTAAACCAATTGATTAGTGTTTTATCTCCTTGTTTATTACCATCATCAGTGAATACTAAATCGCCCATTGTAGATCCAATAAATGGTAAACAAGGTGGAACTGCAATTTTCATAACCTCTCTTAATTTACTGAAATTCTTTTCTTGGTCACATAATTCACTTAACATTTCTTCAATTTCTTTATCTTCTGGTAATAAAGAGTCCCATGTATCTTTAAGCCGATAAATTGGAGTTGATTCTAATGCACTAAATACAGCTTTCATCCCTTCAAAGTTATTTAATTTTTTCATTTCTTCTGCTACTTGAAGGAAATAATGAATAAACAAAGCTCTATATGCAACTCGTTTTTCTACAAGAATAGAAGTTTGAACAAAACTAAATAATCGTTTACTTGAACGTACTAATCGAATGAGATTTGGAGTTAATGTATCCTTATCTTTTTTCATCCACCCATTTCCAAGTAATTCGAAATAAGGAACTTTTCTAAAAAGATCATTTTGCATTAAAGTAATTTGTCGTGCAAATTCATGTGGATGAAATTGAAGAACATTAACATATTTTGGGTTTTTTTCTAATTCGTTAATTTTAATCATTGGTGAATCTAATTCATCTCTTTTATTTTCTACATGGGCGATATGAAGTTCTAATTGTTTTTGTAAGATTTTACTCATTTTTGGATTAAATTGATTAAATCGATCTAGTAACTGTTGAAGTTTATCAATTAACTCTTCTTTTGCTTCAAAATCTTTCCATGCATTTTTCATCCAAGTACGAACAAAATTCATTATTTTTAATCTAAGTGGTGATATAACATCTTTAACAAAAACATCCCATTCCATTCCATCAGGTATTGAAGGGTCAAATAAAATGCTAAGTAATTCTAATAATTTTTCAGGTGTTGTAACTAACCTATAAGCTAAAACAAAACACTCTTGAAAATAAGGGTCATTAAAATCTTTTGACATCATTGTTTGAATACACTTTTCGAGTGTTGCCATTTGAATAATTTTTAAGTCACACCCAGTTTCTGTTGTCCAAGTAATATACTCAGGTGTGTCAGGTAATTCAAATGTAGTAGAAAATCGTGGATCAGCATTATATGTCTGTTCATCAATTTTATTTTCACCAACAGTAGAGAATGAAGAAACGTCAGTAGACCCACTAAACGTTGATCTTGTGTCTCTTCCCCTCATTCCAGCAGCTGTGGGTTGTCTAATTGACATGAAAAATAGATCTTAAAACTAACTTTTCATTTATTTTTTTTTGTTTTTTGATTTCTTTCAAGAAACAATGTTATTTTTTTAAATAATTTATTATCGATTAAAATTTTTATTCTTTCATTATTTTTAGGAATATGCAACTAAATGTCTTGATAAAAAGACTATTCTAAAAATAAAATAAAAATAACAAAAATATAATTCTGAAATAAGAATAACATTATTTTATTAATTAATCTATAAAAGAGAAACTGTAGTTGATGAGGTTGAATCTCGATATGACAACGTGGAATGTTGATATGATGTACAAGACGATACTGATAAATCAGAATATTCCATTCGAATATTTCTTAGAATAATTTTTGTGTTAGCAAACATTCTTTCTTCAAACTCTTTGTTAAACTGCCAAGACATTTCATCTGAAGACCATAAAACTAGAATAGTCACAGTCTCTACCATATCAGGTAACCAATGAATCATTGTTTGAAAAAGAATATCATTCATATATTTTTTAGTAATTGGGAAATACAAATGAACAATAAAACGTAATAGATTTTCAATAATAAGAAGGATTAAAGCAAATATATATATTAAAAAAGATTTTTTTGAGTCCGGTGAAGTAAAATGTGAGATTTGGTGATGATATCTTTGAATGATTAATATTCCAAAGGCCAATACTATAATGGCTAATAACATATTTGCTAAACAGATAAATATCAATTATAATTTATCTATTATGTAGAAATAAACAAACATCCTGTAGAAATCCAAGTGTTCCATGCCTCTATATTTCCATTATTTGATACACAGTCATTACCTTCAATAAACAGTGCTATAAATGATGCTATTACAAGAGAAATAAACAAGATGTTAAGTATCAAAACACCCATTCCAACAACAGTAAGATTGATTACACGTACTTCACGTTCAGTGAAACCCTTAACCCAATGAAACAATGTATAACTTACAATAAAAAAATTACAAATGTACACTACTCGTGAAAGAAAATATGAAACACATGTTGTTGATGAATATAATTGAATAACATGTGAAGTTGAGAACGCTATCATGTCAACATGAATTTATTTATTGATATATAATGAATAAATATAACAACCAACATAATGTTTGAATTAAATAAGATAATGTTATAACAACATATGGGAAAGTAACAGATTGTCTATTACATTTATGGCAGAAGAAAAATAGTACACCAATAAAAGAAGAAGTGTATAATATAGGTGCAATAACATATTGTGCTCCATTAAGATGAACATTTAGTTCCCACATCTCACGAATATAATTTTAAAAGTTATAATTTTGTTTTTATTATTATTTGTTTTTTTTTAGAATAGAAAAGTTAATTTAGAAAAAAAAGAAGGAACTTGAAAAGGTATGAAAACTTGAAAATAGTATTTAGTTTTATTCTTAAGGAATGTTTAAAGCAAAGAAAATGCAAACAATGAGACCAAAGAAAAAAGTGCCAAAGGGTACTTTACGATATGACCTTCATAAAACAATTAAAGAAGGTATTTCAAAAGGAACATTAAAAGATTCTGTTAAATGTCCAGCAAATGGAAATCAAAACGAATGGCTAGCAGTTAATTGCTTTGACTTTTTTAATAATATACTGTTAATATATTCAGCAGTATCTGATTTATGTTCTCCAAATGCATGTCCGATTATGAATGGAGGACCTAATATGGAATATCTTTGGATGGAAAATAAAAAATCAGTTCAACTACCTGCACGAGAATATTGCGAAAAATTATTTGAGTGGGTTCAAACTTGCTTTGACGATACTAAAATATTCCCTGCTGAATTTACTGCTAAAGCACCGAAAGCATTTATGCCTACTTTAACAAAAATATTTAAACGATTATTCAGAGTATATGCACATATGTTCTATAGTCATGCCAATCATTTAAAAGAGTTGGACTTAAGTGATCAAGCTTATTTAGGATTTAGACATTTCTATGTCTTTTGCAGAGAATATGATTTATTGTCTAAAGAAGATATTTCTCCATTAGAACAGATGATCGAACCAATTGACAAAGAGTTTAATCTTAAAAAACTTAATTAAATTTAAAATTTTACTAAAACTCTTTTTTTCATTTAACTTGCAAAACAAAAAGTAATTTATTTATTTTGTAACTACCCTTCATTGTATTTACTCCCATTAATACTTCTTCATTAAGTTATTGTCTTACCTTTTGTAGAATGGAATAGTTTTGTTTAGTTTTAAAAGATATTTTGATAAATATTTTGCATAGAAAAGTATTTTTAGTTGTAAAAATAGAATTTATTTTATTTTTAACTATGTTATTACTTTAAGTATTTTTCTTAATTTATTTTTCTAGACAGTATTATACAAAAAATAAAACGATATGTTGAAATTATTATGATAGATGTTATTTTATCTTTGAAAAGATTCTTAAAAAAGAGAATAGAGTTTTTTATCAGTTTATTAAGTAATATTTTTTAATTTAACTACTTTAAGTTATTTCCCAGACAAAACAAAAAAGCTTTTAAGATGAAACAATTTGTAAATTTATATAAAAAGTAGATAAAATTATTTATTTACATTTAGGATTTTTATAATTTTGTGTTATTTTTATTTCTCAGAAGTCTTTTTCTAAAAAAAAGAAATTACCTTTAATTGTAATTAAAATTTATATAATATAAACAATTCTTAAAATATTTTTGGTTGTATAAAATGACAGCAAAAATAACTATCAGAACAATAATAAGAAAGAAAATGTATTGAATAAAAATAGTATAAATTACTTAATGAATAATCATGAATACTATTTTGATTTATTTTATAACTTTTCTATTATTGTGTTATTTTCATTTTATTACTTAATTATGTTATAAAGTTAGTTTATTTGTGGTTTAGTATATTCTATGTGAATTAGTACAGAGAATATCCCATTTAAATATAATGCTTTGTTAGATAAATGTTACAGGATTTTAATTCTAAAACATTCAAGTTTGATGTTTTAATTCAAATTTAAGTTATCTATAAAGTAACAAATAAATAAAGTAAAATATTACTACAAAATGTTAACTTTTGATATTGGGAATATAGATATCTAATATTCGTTATTACAAAAACTATTGAAATCTTTATTTATTATTTAAAAAGAGGTTTAGAAGAATGAAATCATTAACATTACATTCTTGAATAAACTATTAATATCATTTTATAGAGTTTTATTTATGAAAGATATTAAAAGATAATAATATTTTTTTTTTGAATAAAATAGTATAATTAGAAGATAAACAAATATATTATTTTTCTTGTTGTATTCATGATATATTTCTTAACAAACTAATCACATGGCATTACAGTTAAAAAATAAGAATAATTTATAGGATAATGACAATATCGAAAACTATATCATAATTTGGAGATAAATGTCAATATTAAAAAAAATTCAATTAGAATATATATTAGTAGAACATTAAAATTGGTTAGGATTACTTTTTTTTTCTTTTACCTGAAATTAATAATAGAGAAGATGAGCCATCTAATTTAAAAAAAAATGAATGACTATATAAATTTCGTTATAGATGGCTTAGGAAAAAAAGATTGTTGTTGATAAAAAATAATGAAAGGTAAAAGTAATAATAGTTTTGTTGGAATGTGTTTTTGTTTATTAGAAAATCAAAAAATCTAAAACTAAGAGATATAAAAAGTGAATTATGTATTGTTCATTTCTGGGTTATGGTTTTATGCAACGGTCATCAAAAATAAAAAATTGATAAAAAATTAAAAATATACATCTACTAAGAAGTTTGCTAAATTTAAAACCTCCGAAAAAAATATTAAAAAGAATTGAACAATATAATAATTTTATGTTCTAATAAAAATAAGCTAAGTAAATGAAAAAGAAAAAAAAGAATCTCAAAAAATCACGAAGAGATGGGAAAAGACAAAGAAAAGACAAAAGACATAATAACTGAAGTACCTAAACGTAAAGTAAAGTTAACGGTTGAAGAAGTTATGAGGGTTTTAGATTGTTTTGTTAAGAAAGAAGATTTTATAAGGTCTCTTCAAATATCAAAGAAATTTAAAGACATCCCAAAACGTTATAGTTACAATCCTATTAGTATTGACTCAACAACCATTTCATTGTTTCCTAATTTAAAAGTCCAAAAGTTATATGCGTGGAATGATACACAAATTCCTAAAATGAAAAAGTACGAAGTAGAATATCCTGAAACATATTTTCATTACTATTTAAAATACTTTGCAATAAGAGATAAAGTAAGTGCAAGAAAAATCGTATATTCTTCAGAAGATAGAGTTAATTATGAATGTATGAAAGGAGAAGGTATTCTTCCTGATGGAATTACAAAAATTGCAGATAAATGTTTTGAAGAATGTAATAAAATTGTAAGTCTTAATATCCCAACATCAGTTACAGCCATTGGAAGAAATGGATTTGCTAATTGTACTTCCTTAACTAGTTTGACATTACCAGAAAACCTTATGGTTATAGGAGATAATTGTTTTCTTGCATGCAATAGCTTAACCTCAATTAAACTAGGAACAACCAATTGTTTTAAGGGAAAAGCTTCATACGGTATTTATTTATTCTTAGAAAAAAATAATATTCATTGTAATGATGTGTTTTATTCTTCTGAAGACAGAAGAAAATATGGGAACAAGATACCTGAGATATGCAATTCTTTAGCTGATAAATGTTTTGCTTCTTGTTTATCATTAACCTCAATTGAAGTTCCTAGCACAATTCAACATATTGGCTCTCGTTGTTTTGAGGGTTGTAAAGGACTAAAACAAATCTCTTTACCTCCAACAATCAATTGTTATGATCACGCTTTTAGTGGGTGCTCATACATAACTGCATTAACATTACCTGGTAATTTCCCTAAGATTGACAAATCAATATTTGAAAACATTCAAATGATTAAATCAATCGTATTGACTGATTGTACTCAGTTTGATGGATTAGTTTCATATTCATTAGCTGTAATTATTGAAAGAGGAGGTATTCCATGTACTAATGTGGCATATACAGAAGAAGATCGAAAGGTATTTGGTGAAAATATTCCAAAAGGAGTGAAAGAAGTTGGAGATAATTGTTTTTCAGGAGATTTTCGTGCAAAATCTATTACAGTACCTAAAGGTGTAACAAAACTGGGACAATCTTGTTTTAAGAATTGTTGTTCATTGACCAGTGTTTCGTTGCCATCAAGTATTATCAGTATTCCTGTATCATGCTTTTATCAATGTCCTGTATTGAAAACATTGAAAATTAAGAATAAGACTTTGACATATGAAAAATATTGTTTCTATGGATGCGAAAAACTAAAACTAAAAAGTAAAAACATACCTTCAGAATGTTTCTCAAAAGAACCACAACCAGACGATAAAACCAAGAAATAATTGTAATTCTTAATTCACCAATATCCCTTTATAATTAATCTTATAAATTTTATTTATAAGATTAGATACTTCATTATTTTCAAAAAGAAAGTCAAAAAAATCAAAAAAAAAAATAACAAAAAAACTAAAAAATAGTATAGTGAAATATGTCAACTATTCATGGCTTTTCAGATTTAAAAAAAGAAAACAAACCAAAAGGACAAGGTTTCTTCAATGGAGGAGACAAAGGAGGAGTTGAGTTTTATGCAAATGACGATGCAAGCGATGCTTATAGAACTGCAGAAAAAACTGCTAGCACAAATAATGGCAATTCAACTCATGACCCAAGAAAAAAAGATTTAATTTTAAACGTTGTTATGTACAAAAATGGATTTGTTGTTAATGATGGACCATTACGAAATTATGAAGACCAAAACAATAAACAATTCATAGATGATGTCACAAATGGTTTTATTCCACAAGAATATCTTCAACAAGCACAACACAATAATATTGCTATTAATTTAACTAACTCAACACAAACCATATTCTCTGGTCAGACTTCTACAACTACAACCCATTCAGTTACCTTCACTGGAACTGGAAATAGTATTGGAAAATCAAACGCTACTAATTTCAAAGTTACTGGGTCTGCTCCAAGTTTAGATGTATCAAAGCCTACTACAAATATTAAGGTCAGATTTATTGATGGAAAACAAAAGGTTTTCAAGGTCAATCAAGAGTGGACTGTTTCCCAAATTTATGCATTAGTAAAGAAAGAAACTAACACCAATGAATTTAGACTTGTGGCTATTCCAAATAGAAATATAGAAATGAATGAGATGACTGTTATGGAAGCAAAAATTGCCAATTCTAGTTTGATTCAACAAAAGTAGTTTAATATTTACTTTCTTTTTCTTAATATTTATCTTACCACCATAATTAGAAAAATTTCATTTGGTATTTTTCAAAAGAGGTTGCAACTAAAAAATAATAGACAAACTATTTTTTTAATACTTCCTTATTAAATAAAAATATTAAGTTTTTTAGGACTAAACACTTGGCATAATACAAATCTATAATTTAAAAACAAACACCAAAAGTAATAGACTTAAAAGATGCTACAATAAGTGAATGTGAATTAACAAGTAATCCAAGTAAATTCCTTTATTGCAAATTATATGGGATCTGTAACTTAATTCCATAATCAATGGAAATACAATATTTTCAATTAAGGTCTTTAGAAGAATGTCTTAGAGAGTAAAGGTTTCTTTGTAATCCCATATCGCTTAAAGCTTAGAGCTTTATTTGATACTTCAAGGGAAATGGGTATTCTTACATGAAAATATAATAATGCATCTTGGTCTTAAACCAGATAATCTTTTAGTCAGTTCATTCTATTTTGATTCAGTTTATTGTATCAAAATTACTGTTTTGGTACTTCCCATCTTACTCTAAAAAATTCAAAAATCTTGAAGAGAAAGGATTGGGAACACCAACCCATGCTGCTCCTGAAGGAAGCCAAGATAGATGTACTTTTGCTGGTGACGTTTATTCATTTGTTGTAACTACTTGGGAAATGTTTTATCAAGAAGAGTCCTACAAAAATTTCAAAACATTACCTGAAACTAAAGACTATATTAATAGTGGTAAATGTTTAGAGTCTGATGAAAAGATAAGAGGTGATTAAAAATCTAGTTGATTAAAAAAGAGTAGTAAATAAACCACTCGAAATATGACCAAACATCATAATTAAAAACTAAACTGGTAAAACTGAACAACAAATTTCTCGATATATGAAAACAAACTTTATTTTCTAAGTGATTTCTTTCATAACATTAATATACACATAATAATATATAATAATAATTTTATTTTATTTTTATTCCTGATAAAATCAGGATAGAAATTTAAAGTAAACCATGATAAAAATATAAGAATTTTGTCTTTATATTATTGCTCTTGCTATTAGTTCTATAGTTATAACCAAATAACAAGAAAATTATTAAAAATAAAGATGAATATAATTATTATTATTAGATATTCAATTTATTTCAAAGAAAAGTGTTTTATAAAATAACTTAGTGAAACTAAACTTTCAATTTAGAAAAGGTGTCTGCCAGATTTTTCAACAGCAGTTCTAAGTTCATTGTTCAAATCATTGTCAGCAATAATTTCGTCCATGTCAACATGGCATCTATATCTCCAGTAATGGATTGGATTGGATGGGTCATTAATTTGTTCTAATTTTGGATCACGTCCTTCAATATACTTAAGTTTAAGTGAAAGAATATCTTGAAGTGGGAAACAAGCAAGCATAGCTGGTCCATACAAATGCATATCAAAGATAGTTTTAACGGCATCAATAGGACAAGTAAATGGTGCAGCTCCAGATCTTCCAAGAAGATGTTCCCAGAAATATTGAGTCTTATATCTGTCTTCTTCCCACCATCCACGAATAGTTGACATATCATGTCCAGATGGAGCTGAGACAGTAAGGTATTGATAGTCAGCTGGATGATAGAAAAGAGTATTTGGAGTATCAGTTAATCTTTGAATTCTCAAACAATTAATTTTCATATCGTTCATTACTCTAACAACACAGTCTGGAACCATTCCAAGATCTTCACCACAAACAAGCATATTAGAAGCTCTAGCCATAGCTGGAAGTCTCTTTCTAGCAGTAGCTTCCCAAAGACCTTCATGTCTCTTATAGAAGTAATCATTATATAATCTCTTAAGACCTTCTTGTACCCAGTGATCAAGTTCATTGAAGCTAGAATATGTTTTTTCCATATCAATTCTTGGAACAAACAAATTTGGATTTTGTTCGTCTCTAATCAAACATACATTTTGTAAGAGAAGTTTAAGTCCATTAACAATTTTTTTATCTGATTCTCTAAATTGTGGAGAGAGTCCAGTCTTTTCAAGGATAGCACCTTCACTTTGGAATTCTGGTTTTAAGTTATAAGTTCCGTTATAATTATTAACAAGGAATTTTGAAATAACAAAGTTCTTTTCATCACCAAAGAGACTGTCTAAAGTATGATCTCTGATATATGGATAACTTAATCTATCAGTATCATAAATGCCATATCCCTCAAGTTCTTGTCTAGAAAATGGTAAATCAGGAGAGAATCTACCAAGAAGACCAGTTCTATGAATAGCAGGAATAGCCCAAATTCTAAAGAATCCAAGAATATGATCAATTCTGTATGCATTGAAATATTGTGACATTTGAGATAATCTTCCTTTCCACCAAGCATAATCATCCTTAGCCATATTATCCCAATTATATGTTGGGAATCCCCAATTTTGTCCTTCACCAGCTGAGAAGTAGTCAGGTGGTGCTCCAGTTGATTTATCAAGATGGAAAAGATTTGGATACATCCAGCATTCAACAGATCTCTTTGAAACTCCAATTGGAAGATCTCCTTTTAATGCAACCTTATGGTCAGCAGCATAGTCACTAGCTTCTTTAAGTTGTAAATGAAGATTGTATTGGACAAAAGCATAGTAATCACACTCTGCTTTGTTAGCAGCATACATAGCTTCAACTTCAGCAAAGTCTTTTGGTGTTGGTGGTAATGGTGTATCAACTGATTTAATAAGAGCACGATAAACACAATATGGAATTAACCACTTACCAGCATTCTTTTTGAATTCGTCAAATCCCTTTTGAGTAGTTCCAACTTTTGAGAATATTTTTCTTGTAATTGTTTCTTTTTCTTTAAGGACAGCCTCATAGTCAATTTGCTCTAAAGCATTAAGTTTTTGTGCAACTGAGTTAATTTCAGCAAGAATTTCTGGGTCTTCAGTTAATGAACTAAGTCTAAGATACATTGGATGAAGGGCTTGTACTGAATTTGGATTGTATGGATAAGAATCTCTCCAAGTAAAGTAAACAGTAGTATCATTAACTGGAAGGGTTTGAATTAATGATAATCCAGTAATGTTACACCAATCAACAACTTTTTTCAAATCAAGGAATTCACCACATCCACATGATGCTTTAGTTCTAAGTGAGAATACTGGAGTAACAACAGCAGCTCCTCTATAATAGAGTCCACTAAAATCGTTATCTTCTTTTACAATAAGAGTATCAACTGGTTTAGTTTTTTCTGCATTTTCTTCTTCAGCAACTGGAGCAATGTAATAAACTCTATTAGATCTATCTTCCCATCTAGCATTAGTACGTGAGTTAGCATCAGCAATGAAACACTTATATTCAAAAGAAGCAGTTTCATTAGAAATATCAATAAGGGCTTCATAATATGGAACATGGGTTGGTGTCATTTTAATAGCTTTAGAAACATCCCATTTACCAAGAGATTCAATAGCACCACCAACAAATACACATTGACCTTCTGGAACACAAGTACATCTAACCTTAAGAAGAAGAGTAGTTTGACCTAATTTCTTAATTGAAAGTTTTTCTTCTTGTCTTTTACCATAAATAACTTTTCTGAAATAAGAAGTAGTTAAGAAAGTATCTTCAGCATCAAATCCTGAAATAAAAATATCATTAACTTCTACTTTACCAAAGCTTTTCAAGTTAGTTAAATCAAGAAAGTGTGGATATGATTCTTTTGATCCTTCAGTTCTAAAGATTTCTGTTAAATCATCTTCTTTTGTAATAAGATAACGATAATTAATAAGACCAGTTGATGCAAATGCAACTTCTCCTGACCATGTGTTATTATCAACATAGTTCAATTTATATAACTTTTTTTCTCCTGAAACTTCGAGACAAACTGCTTGTCCAAATGGAGTGCTATAATGAATGGTGATAAAGACCATTAAGGATTGTATAGTAATTCAAAGTTTTCTTTCTTCAGATCTTTTAAACTATACCGTTAAGATGACGTGGAACATTCCATTATATTTATATTTTCTGTTTAGTAGAGTTTTTTATTTTTTACAATTTACTTACTTTCTAGTTCTAAACTATAAATTTATTTCTACTTTTAAAATAAATTTACTCACTTGATATAAACGTATTTTTATTTTTATCATTTTTGGTAATACTTTTCCTTAAGTATCGGGTAATTAACAATACATTTATTCTTATGAAATTAATCGAATTTTTTAAATTTCCTAATTCTTGTGTTTTTTCCTAATTCTAGTATAATATTAATATTGTTTTTATTTCTTTTAATAAATTTTTACTTTTCATTTGATAAGGGTTTTAGTTAGAAAAATTTTTGTTTTTTTGAAAATTCTTAACTAGCCTTAGAAAATCATTCAACGAAAGATGAAAGTTTATATAAATTTGTTATATATAACGATTTTATAAAACTAGATTTATTATTTACTTCATAAAAATATGAACCAACTTAAATAATAACAATATTAAGAAGAGTGTTTATCTTTTATAAATGAAGAGATTTGTTTTATTTTTATTTTATGGATTTCATGAAAAAGAAGAATTAAAAAAGTTTATTGAATAAAATTGACTTCATTTTAAGAAAGTATTCCTTGTTACATTAGTAAACAGTAAATTATAGAAAGAAATATTAAGAAGTATTATTGTTATTTGACTTTATTAAAAAGCTAAATTGTTTTATATTAATATGAATAAGATTTATTTAAGGAAAGAACAAAATAAACAAAAAACCAACCATAATTATTTCTTTTTAAATATTTTGTTATTTAAAAAACTTGTTCTAAAAAAAGAGCTATTACAGTGGATAATTGTATGGTTGAGCATATCTCATAGATTGATTTTGTCTTCTGATTTGTTGTGGGGCCATTGGACGATACCCCATAGGGTTTATTCTTTGTCTCCTCATTGGTCCTGGACCATAGGTAGGTGGCATTACTTGTTGCATTGGTGGAATGACATATTGATTTAATGGTGGTTGATATATTGGTTGTGTATAACTAATTGGTTGCATTGTAACCTGGCCAGTATAAGGATCAATTACTTGTTGCATAGGGACATAAATAATTCTTTGTTGAGGAATGTAACTTGGTTGTTGATAGCCATTATTATAATCATCATATGGAATTCCACTGTCATAGTATTGGTCTTGATCATATGGCTCACTATTTAGATATACCTCTTCATCATAAGGATAGACTTCATTATTTGTTTCATTATCATAATAAGGATCTGTGTTAGTTAAATCTTCTTGTTGGCTCTGTAAAAGTTCTAACTGATTTTGTAATTCTTTTAGTTGTTGTAATTTAGCCATTAACTCTTGTGTGTTTTGTTTTTGTTGATTCATTTGTTGTTGTTCTGGAATTCTATTAGATTGACAATTTCCTAATCTGCTTTGAGATCTTGTATCTCCCATACGACTTTGAGGCCTATTATCACCAACTCTACTTTGAGGTCTTTGTCTTAATTGACCTCTTCTAGGAATAGAGTTATTTTGGACAGAGGGTAGTATCATTGGTTTCTTTTGTTGTGGTCGTTGTAATATATGTTGATCATATTGGCTATCCTTTTGAATAAGTTCTGATGATTGTTGGGTATCAGTAGATTGTATATCGACACGTTTTTCTTCAGTTGGCTCTTTCTTAATATTTTCAGTTGATTTTTTAGGTTGTTGAGCTTGTTGAATAATTATTGGTTGGTTGTGTGTTTGGGTTCTGATTTGGTCAATACAAAAATCATCTAATACATTATTAGCTAATGGTGAATCAATTAAACGTTTAGACGATTGTTTTTTAAGGATTGTATCTGGCTTTTGTTGTTCTTGAATTTTAGAAGGAGGTTGTTGTTTATTCATTTTTTGTTGTGGTAAAGGTTGAATACCTTGAATGTTTTGCATTAATTGAGGTGGGACAGTTTGTTTTTGGATAATATCTTTTGTAGTAGAGATTTTAGGAAGTGTAGGTTGTTCTGATTGATAAAGGGACTGCTTTTTATTTAAATTTTGGTTAAGAGCATCTTTTTGAATTATATTAAGGTCATCTTGTCTACTAACGTTTGCTTGAAGTAAATCTTCTTTTGCTACTTTCTCAAACTTTTCTGCTAATTCTCTTTGTCGTCGTTCAAGATTTGAATACATTGAACAAATTTCTTTCATTTCATCTTCTTGTTTTGCTAAAACATTATTTATTGTTTGAGTTTCTTCTTTGATTTTTCTTAATTTTTCTATTGATGTAGAATTCTTTAATGAATCAGTTAAACTTTTATTAATTTCTTCAATGCGTTGAATTCCTCCTTCTACAATACGTGAAAGTTCTACTGATTGTTGTTGTAACATTGTTGGTATTTCTTGTTGTCCAGCTAATATTTCTGCTTGATTAGGAATAACACGAACTAATCCTTCAGCAAATGATTCAGTATTCTGTCCATAATTTTTTGTAATGGCTTGACATTGTTTTGTAAATTGTTCACTTAAATTTGATAGTCTTTGACCCATTGCTTGTCCTTTATTTTGTAAATATTTACTTGTACTAATAACACAAAAGTTACAAACGAGCTGAGTTCATGTCAGCTGTAAATGAATTTAATTGATTTTGTAATGCAGTATTTGATGAATTCATAAATGAATTTAAAGAAAAACAGTTCTTTTTACTTAATTTTATTATTTAACATTTTTGTTATTATTATTAATTTGTTATAATTGAAATTATTAATTATTGTTTTTCTTTAGAACTAAATAAAATTCTATTGGTATAAATAACATTTTTTTCTATAAAATGAAAGATAACTTCTTTTGTTATGGTATTCTAAAGGTACTCTAAAAGTAATAAATACATCGGTATCAATTACTTAACTTATGAAAACTGAAAAATTAATTCTTTTGTTTTAATTAATGATACATTAAAATTAAAAATGAAATACTTACAAAAAAAAATATTTTACTTTTGTTCATTAGGAATAGAAATGGACTTCCATGTCCCTTGTGGGATAACGGTACTTCTCATTTTAACAACATCTATAATTTCCTTATCACCTTCTTTAATTGGTGGAATAATTCTACATTCATATGGGTGTCTAATACATAAATTACCATCATGGTCTACAGCCTCTAAAGTTCCAACAACACACCTATTATCAATGAGTTGAATTTTAACAATTTTACCCAAAACATTACCTTCTTCCATAAGAGTTATTAAGAAAAATAAAATAATTAGTTACTTCAAGAAAATTTACAAAAATTAAAATAAACTTAGAAAAACAAAAAATTAAAATAACAATAACGTGTTTTTTAAATAAAAACGAATTTTTTTAAGGTCCTGTTACAAACATGCCAATTGATAATTATTTAAAGACAATCTTTCTAAATTCAGAACAAACTTCTTTAGAATGACTTTAATACAAAGAAACCCTAAAATAATTAATTTCCATAACGTTTGTGGAGCAGAAAATGATGATAGTTTTACTCATAGAGTTCTTTTCATTGCTCTTGATGCTTCAAATAATAAAGAATTTACTTCAGGAGCTGTTTTTATTGTAAAGATTCTTGTACCTGAATTCGCTAATCTTCAAAGTGATCAATTTTCTTTCCAATTTTTTACAGAAGGAATTACAAATAAACTTGTTTGTATTACAGCTATTCCAACAGGAAAGAAGGTTGTTTTAAGAACTTTTGGTAATTATACTGAATATCTTGTTGACAGAAGACAAGAATCTGTTATTATGAATACTTATGGACAAAAAGTTTATGGAGGGTTTTTGAATGGAATTGTTTATGACTTTACACCAGGAAGAACTATGGACTATAATGAATTTAGAAAACCTGAAATTCTAAGTAAAATGGCAGAATGTATTGCTGGTGTTCATCATCTTAAACCAAATTTAAAAAAAGAACCAATATTATTTAAAGAAATGAGGGCATGGTTAAATAATGTACCAAGTCATTATCTTGACCCCGAAAAACAAAAAATTTTTTCTAATTCAAATATCAATTTTGACGATTTATCAAAAGAAATTGACTATGTAGAGAAAAAATTAACTGCACTTAACTCACCAATTGTATGTTGTCATAATGATCTTTATTTAAAGAATTTCATTTATAATGAAGAAAACTCTTCTATTAAATTGATTGATTTTGAATATGCATCATATAATTTCCAAGCATTTGATTTAGCTAATCATATTACTGAATGGTGTGGAGTTGTTATGGATTGGAGTAAATACCCTACAAAAGAAGAACAAGATTTCTTTTTAAGAAGTTATCTTGAAGCTTATAATGGAAAGAAACCTTCTGATGAAGAAGTTGATCATTTATATGATGTTGTTAATCAATTCCAATTAGCTACAAATCTTCTTTGGTCTCTTTGGGGATTTGTTGATGCATCATTATCAAGTATTGAATGGGATTATTTGGACTATGCGTTTATGAGATTAAATAAATATTATGAATTAAAAAAGATTCTTTAAATTGAATTAGTTGTGCATTATTTTATTTTTTTAATTAATATGAATTTTTACTAATTTTAAGATATTAATATTTTGTGTAAAACAGAAATAGTTATTTATTTTGAATAATTATTTTTTTTTTGATATTATTCCTCTTATAATAAATGTTTATTTTTAGTTAGATAATATATATATTAATTAATTATTAAAAATTTAATTATCCTTCAAAAGTTTCAGATATACTGGACTCTTCATTTTCAGTAACCATTTCACCTGCTTCAGTAAATTTAAATGTTTTCTTGAGAGCAGCATTAAATATTTTGTCAAGGTCTTCACTTGGAAGATCAAATTTATGTTTATAAACTAACTCACAATTTCTTTCAGCTTCAATGTATCTACTTTTTAAGAAATCGCATAAAGTATTCCAAGCTTTCATTCTATGGTCAGTCATTTTAATATGGTGTTTAATACTTTTACACATATAATCAATAGAACGTGTTAATTGAGGGGTAACTATTAATTTGCATGTTTTAGCTGCCATTTGTTTAGAATAACTTGATTGATAAGCAATTTCTTCTGGTCTTTTCATTGAAGGAATAAGACGAGCGATGTGATCAAAGAAATCATAAAATTTACCGAAATGAAGATTGCAATGTAATAAGCAAAGATTCTTTAAAGCAATCATATACTCATTTTCTGACTCTTTTACAAATGGCTCAAGGCACCTAATAACACGGAATGATACTTTTTCTTTAAAGAAGTAATAATTTTGGAATCTTAAAGTGATTGTAGGTTTTTGGTCTACTTGAGAATCTTTTATAGATTTTAACCAATCAAAAGAACTTCTTAATAATTTTGCTATTATTGGTTGAACTACATCGTTAAGTACTTCCCATACTTCTTCTTCTCCTGCTGCAATTTGAAGATAATTAAAGAAATATGGTAATCTAAGAAAATGTACAGTAACTCCATGTTTCTTTGGGTTAATAACAGTGTTAGTGATTTGAGTAATTTGTTTATCAATGAAATTGTTAAATTTTTTCATAGCATTATTACTTAAAACTTCATAGAAATGATCTAACCATTCAAAACAAACAGTACGAGCATTTTTTTGAACAATTAATTCTCTAGTTCCTTGTTCTCTTTTTATTTCATTTTTATTAAGTTGTTGTAATGGAACTAATTCTTCTTGTTCTTTTTCTGTTTGTTTTTGTTCTTTTTCTTGCTTTTTTAATAATTTTGAGTAGTCTTGAGTTGAAATATCAATGTTTACATTAGCTGTTTTACATAAATAAATAATACGTAATAATACAAATGGATCATGTTCTTCAATATAATTAATTAATTTATCTAATGCATCAAAGGATTGTTTGTATACATCATCAATTAATACGTTGATTCCATTTGGACCATTTTCTTCCATTTGGAATACTTCTAATAAGAATTTAAATTCTGCAATAACGTTAACAGCAATAGTTTCAATAACACTTTTAACAACATCAAACATTGGTCTTTTATCAGGGAATTTATCATTTCTATCATTAAATATTTCTTTTGGAATAATTTGAGTTTCTCCATTTTTATCTGGTTTAGGACCATCAAACTCAGTCATTTCAAAAGCACTTTCATGGTCTTCTGAAATTTCTTGAATATTCTTCTTTTGTTGGTCAACTAAAATATCAAAATATTCATTTGCAATTTTACTCATCTTTTCTACATATTGTTTTTTTACATTTAAAAATTCATCTGTAGCATACATTCTTAACCAAGCAATTAATCCACCAAATGGTTGTAAACTTCCATGAGCTCCTTCTAATGTTTCTTTTTGTTGTTTTTCTTTTCCAAATAATGAGCTACCAAATTCCACAACTTTATTTAATTTAAGGAAATCCATTTCAACTTTTAATTTGTTTTGTAAAGTAGATGATAATACAACTGCAAAATCTTTAAGAACTTGTTTATCAAAATCTTGTTCTTCTTTTAGAGCAATCATATTTTTCATTTCTTCTGGTGGTTGATAATTAGCAGCTAAAGCAACAACAGTAGCACTTTTACAAATATTATCTAAATTAACTGCTTTATTTAATTGGTCTTGACAATTTCTTACAGTATATAATGAAACTGGATCAATTAATAATGAATCAATAAATTGTTCCATACAATTCATGAATTTAGTTTGATTTGAATGAACAATTTCTAATTTATTATTATTGTGTTGAATAAGTTCTACACCTGGTCTAATATTTTCAATATCAACATCTAATTTTAAACAAAATGTTTCAAGTTCATCCAATGCTTTTTGTACTTCATCAAATAATGTATTAACATTATTACCAATTTCTTCTCTATTCAAATAATTTTTATATAATGTTGCTTCATCAATAATGATTTGTTTTTCTAATTTCTTTTGTAATTCATCAATATCAATTTTTTCTCCATGCTCATTAAGCATTTTTTTAAGAATTAATTCATCTTCTTTAGATACTAAATGAAGTCTTCCATCAGTTTTTTGTCTTTTCTTTTCTTTTTCAATATAATCAACTAATTCATCTAATGACATTTCAAATTCAATCTCAAATTCATTAGCTTTAGCATTTGATAAAATGCAATATGCAAATTCTGCTCTATTTAATGAACTAGCAAAAACAAATTTTTTACCATTAGTTTTATGTTTATTACTAATAATCATTCCATTACTTTCTTTAATAAATTCAATTCCTTTAATTTCATTTAATTTCCATTGTTCATCAATATCTAATCTTCTGTAAATAATGTTTTTACTTACAAAATTAAGAAATATATTCCTTTGTTCTGCTGATATTACTAAAACATCTGAATATGTTAACTCACTTTTCTGATTCTTAATTAATGAACCGTATGCTTTACTTAATACAGTTTTATCTTTAAATAAATAATCAACATCTGATCGTTGTTCTGCACTCCCTACTAACACATCTCCAATTGTTCCAAATGGGTTAGTAACAGCCTTCTTACCATATGTGGTAATTCCAGAAGCAACTCCTCCAACTCCTCCAATAACCTTTTTACCAAATTTACCAACATATTTTGTAGCAGTATCAATTTTAGTAATTTTCATAAAATTCTTGACCTCCTTCATTTTTTACAATAAAAACTGATTATTTGTCTTGTTTTTAAGTTCTTTTCCATTTTTATCTTCTTAAAATAATCTTTTCTAAAATTAAAAACTAAATCAATTTAAACTCTCTTATTAATCTCAAATTCTGTTATATATAACACTAATAATTATTGGGTTCTTCATTTAAATCTAATAACGCTTCTACCCATGAATCACGTTCTCTTATAGATACACATGCAAAATGTTTAATAATTCCATTTGTTTCTACCATGAAAGCATTATGAATTGAAGGTGTGTCAATTACATTCATAACTTTTATTGGAGAATGAAGAGGAATTCTCATTTCTTCATTAAACCTATATCCAGATAATTCAGACACATCCCTTCCTCTTGGAGAATTTTCAAACCTTAACACAACTTCTCTTTCTTTAGCAGTTTTTTTTCCAAATGCAAATGGACGTGCAATAATAAGAATATCTGTACAAAGAATACACATTTTCCAGTCTTTACTAATTTCTCCTGGAGTAACAAATTTTAATCCACCAAAATATCTAATTCTTCGTTTACCATCATGAATTCTATGTGCAATAGTTAAAAATTTACTTTCTACTGTTTTTACATCATGTAATTCTAGGTGTTCAACAATAGAGTCTTTTAAAGAGTTTTCTGTTTCAAATGCTATTGTAGCTGTTTGTGCAATTTTCATATAATTGATATCATTTGATTTTACTTGTCGTAAAATGTCTTCCATAAATCTACTAATTTCTCCTATTCGTTGACAAATACGATTAATACATACTGCAAAAGAAGGAATTTTTCCTTTGTTTCCATATTTCTTTTGGAATTCAAATGTTCTTTCAATTAACCCACGTTTAAATTCAACTTTTTCTATTTCCAAAGAGAGAACTAATAAAGTTTTATCTTTAATTAATATAAATGGAATGTATAGTTTTAATTTCAAGACATACTCATTTAGTGCATTAATAAATCCTTTATTAATATTTCTTAATAGCGTACGTTCTATCATCATCATTTCTGGAAATGTACGATCTAACTTAGATACAATTGATAATCCCTCTTGTCTAAATGGTGCAAAATATAAATAAGATACTATTTGGAAAAGATAATAATATTCTTCTTGTCTTGTTATAAATGAATCACATAAACATCTATATAATTCTTCTTGAGGTTGAACTGGGTCTTCTTTAATAAGAGGTAATAGTGCAGGGCTTTGTAATGAACGAGGAGAATGTGAACGAATAATTGGTTCACTATAATATAATACTCTTGCTTTATTATCAATTTTAACTTTATCAGGAGGTAAAAATTTGACTTCAGCACAATCATTTAACCTACAAAGATATTTTTGTTGTACTTCATATGGTTTGTTTTCTAAACAATTTAAAATGACTTCAATAAAATCATTACAAACATCATTATGGAAATGGTCAATTTCTCTTAAAGCCATTAATGGATAAAATTGTTTTTGATCATTAACTATAGCTTGAAGCTCAATATCTTTTTGTTTAACTCTTCGTTGTAATTGAACAATTTGTTTATTTAAACGAATAACTTCTTGACGATATTCTTCATTTGTTATAGTAGGAAATATTATCATTTCTTGTTCTGATAATTCTCGTTTATTTTGATGTTGTGGTGCTAGTTGTGGTGTGAGTAATTTTTTTCCATCAGTTTTTGGTTCTGAAGGAGATAACATATTACGTTCTGATTCAGACCTCATTAATTTTCTTTTATTCTTCTTTTTAAATGAAAGTCCAAAAAATCCACTTTTTGTTGATTCAAGTTTAGCTTTATTTTCACCCATTTGTCTTGGAGATAATGTTCTTGGTGTTGACTTTTCTGAGTTAGATTGAAACGGAATAATAGTAGAATGTTGTTTATTCATTTCGTCAATAATCTGTTCTAATTCACTAATTCTTGCTTTTAATCCAATAATCTCTACTTGATCTCTTCGTATTGGTGAATTTGTTGTTGCATTACTTTCCATAGTTAGAATACTTGATTGATCTCCTTTACATTCCATTGTTGTTATTCCAGGAGGGATACCATTCATACTTGTCCTATTTGAAGAATTACTTGTCTTATTTGAAGAATTACTTATACTTCCAATCATTTCAATATTTAATGAAGGAACTTGGATTTTATTTTGTGAACTATTTACTTTAATTTCTTTACTTTCTACTTCTTCTTTACTATCAAGAGATTTTCTTTCTGTCATTATGCTTACCTTTTTTTTATATCCTTTAGGACTTTCTTTTACTTCTTCTTTTTTAAATTCATCCTGTATATTTATTTCTTTTAATTCTTCATTGCTTTCATTTTCTTGTACTTTATTTTTCATTTCTTTCATTTCTTTCTCAAACTCTTCAACAGAACTTAATGTTCCAATACAATTTGTTGACTTTTCTATATAACCATCATCAAAATCTTTTGACTGTGAAATTTCAACTAAATCAATATCACCATCACTATTTCCTAAAGGGATTAATTGTTTTGATTGAGGCCTTTCTATTGTTGATACTTCTTTTTCATTTCCAAATGGATCTGGAGAAACTTTTTTAAAAGAGTTAATTGGAGAAAAATTTTCAGGTTCATTAGATGTTAAGACAAGAGTAGAAGAACATCTCCTCAATAAGTCTGGAGTAGTTTCTAAAATTTCTCCATTTTGTTGTAATGATTTATTCCATTCATCTTTAAGTAATTTTAATATAAATACCATTTTCTCTTCATCAACAATAGACTCCATTCCAAGAAGATCATTCCATAACCAAGCTTTCATTTCTTTTGTATCTTTCTATTTTAAATTAATGTTTTGTGAAGTAAAACTTTCTTTTGAAATTATTAAGTCAATTTAAGAATTTTACAAACACATTTTAATAATGATGAGTGTAGTTTTTTGTCTTCAGTAAATAATTCAACACCTTCATGTTGTCTCCAAAAAGTAAAAACATTGTTTAAACGATTTTCTTGGGACATTGTAAATTACTAAAAAATTTTAAGATCTACCTTTTTCTATATCAACAAATACATAAAAAACAGAAACTTCTCTTTTTTTCTCTAAAAACATATCTTTTTTTTTAGCTTTGGTTCTTCTCTTTTAGCAATAACAACATCAAATAATTTTAATAAAATATTCACTTAATAAAATTTTTCTTCTGTTTATTATTGAAAAAAGTACATTAAAGAAGAAATTCTTTTTTAATATTCTCATAACTAAATAATAAATAACTTTATTTATAATTCGGGAATTAGTTATATGAAAGATATTTCTTTGTAATTAAAAACAATAAAATTAATTATTCATTGAAATTAATTGAATATCAACACCATGTTTTACAATAACGAAATAAAGAAAAAAATTATTTAATTTATGAGAAATAAAGATACGTATTTTATTTGTTTCTTTTTAATTTATATTGAGTTCTGATAAAAAAGTAATGATTTTTAATTTTAGTTAGTTCAAAATATATTTTTCTTTTCTAACATTTTTTTGAGATTTTTATTTTTTTCAGATATGAGGTGTTTAAATAGAACATATTTTTTAGTTTAATAATAATAATTTTAATAGTTCTAACTAATTAATAAAAATATAAATTAAAAATCAAACTTCAAACTAATTGATGAATTATAATAAATAATAGTAAAGGAGTAATCATTTATTTCATAATTACCAATACTTATACTAGAACTCATATTGACTCATTTTGATGATTCATTCTGTCTCACCCAATACATTTTACACTAGTGAAAACCAAACTAAAAAACAAACTCTTATTAAACGGGAAAGCACCAACCGAGAACATTTGAGTAATGCCGCAATAATTGGACTTGCCAATTGTTATGGTATAGAATTAGAAATCAAATGCTCTACAGTGAAAAGTGATAACCAAGTTACTTATGATAATTTGATTATTGAAAGTTCTAGTTTATTTACTAGAACTCTTTCCTCCTCGGTTGGTGCAACCCGTAACGATAAGAAAACTGCCATTGCTTTAATTTTTAATACACTTTCTTCATATATCATTCAAACAAATAATCTTTCATATCAATTAACTAAGTCTCGTTCTACAAAAAAGACTCAAAAATTGATTAAATTTAAATGGATTGATCCTTTCAATGAATATGGGTTCTATGCTTTTGGAGCTGCAGTCATTGAAATTGTTCATTCTCTTCCTAAAATTTTTATTAACAAAAAGCAACAATGCGTTCATCTTGCACCTGTTAATAACCAGATTCTCGCATTGTTCCAATCATTCACTCTTGATCAAACAAAGTTGAGTGACAATGGAAAATTATTGTTTCCTCAAAACCCTGTTAATTCAGTTCCTAATTATGTTACTCAAATTTCTCAGTTTGGTCATACTGTGAACGGTGTGTTTAATTCGTCTGACCATTTAACCAACATTCAAAATAGTTCTTCTTTACCTCAAGATACTACTTGTGATAAAGTTGATCCTGTTAATTTTATTGAAATATTAAATTGTAGTTAAAGTACAATTATTTATTTAGTTCTCTCCCACATTCATTTCTCAAATCGCTTATTTAAATTCATTTAGAATTTTTGTGGATTATAACCTACCTTTTTTTTTATTATATTTATTCATTTAATAAATTGTTAATACATCCTCTAAAAAATTTATATAAAACACTTTTTAAAACAAATAAGAAAAATATTTAAGTAATTTTGAATAATTTACATAACAAAAGGATATGGTATGAAAGCGTCTTTGTTAGCTTCTTGCTTCCAAAGATCAATTCTATGGTTAAGCATTGAACGAGTAACTCCCATAAGATTTTTTAATTTTAAATTCGATTGTGTTAATTTTGCAATTCTTCTCTGTGGTGAACATGTGTTTTTTAATTTCTTTTCTTTCATTTCGTTTTCTTTTTCTTTAGCAAAATTAATTAATTTTTGATAGTCAGATTTGATTAAATCTTGACTGCCACTCACTACATCTGATGATGATTGAGATACTTTCGCTACACATCTTTTTACATCAATACACTTTCTTTCATTTTCAAAGGTGAGTAGCTGTTGCATTGGTAATGAGTGACAATAATATATTTAGTTTTCTTCTTATTTATTTCATTCTATAAAAATCAATGCTTAAAATCAACTACTTCTTTTGACTTTTCTTCTAGAATTAATTCTCTTATATTCCCCTAATTTTTACTTCAATTTTCTTTATATTTTTTTATTTTTTTTTTAATTCGTATTTTTTGATTATTATCTTTTCTTTTTACGACTATTTTTTATTTTTTTTTAATTATTTTTTTTTTAATTTTAGATTTTGACTTGTAAACGAAAATACTTTACTTTATTATTTTATGATTGATTGGCAAATCTCTAAATATTTTTATTTGTAGTTTTTTATTCTTGAAAAATTCTTGGTTTGTCTCATTCTGAAGTTTTCATTTAGTTTCTTTATTCTTCTATAAAGTGACCTATTTTTGGATTTATTGAAATTGACACTCTTTTTATAAAGATTCGGAACAATTGTACAAAAACTTTTAAAAATCTTCTTATATTTTTATTTAAAGAGATGAATAGAAGAAGGGATTATAATGGCATAACCTATTTTTTTAAACTAGTTGATTGTTTTTATTAAGAATGGTTGTTGGTTGAATTTCATTTTATTCTCATAATTGGAAAGAAATTAAAGTCATGAGCACAAAATGAATTGAGGTATGTAGTTAGTTGATTAAATGAATTATAATTGTTTTGTTAATACGGTTGTTTTATTTTGTTAAGTTGTTTTATTGATTTATTGTATTAAAGAACAGTGAATATTCAAAGACATAAAACAGATGATAAAAACTATTTATGACTAATTCATTGGTCATTAGAATTACATATTGGAATTCATCTTGTTGGTAATGTTTATTCAATTAAAATACATTTTTACTAATATTATTATGTTCAACATATTTCTCATTTAAAGATAATCCATGATGAAACATTTATTAATAAAAATCATTGTATAATCTAATTTAGTGTTGTATAATAACAAATCATTAATTCACTATGAAGAGAATAATAATCATTATGTTAATTTAATAAGATAGTTCTGAATCATAAAATAAATACTCAAATTAGATAAAGAAAAATGAGATATTGAAGAAATTGAATAAAGTTTGAACAAAATAAATAAAACACAAATGGGAAATAATTAATGATAAAAGATGTTGATAAAATGAATAATTGAATGAAGTTGTAAATAATATGAAATACATTTATAAACAAGAAAGAATATAGAATTAAATATTGATATGGTAATAACAAAATAATGAAATGAATAAAACATAAAATAAATATAAGAAGATACTAAAGATGTACTTTAAATCTGTAAACAAAACAAAATGATTCAAATAAATAAAAAGAAAATGAATATACATCAAATATTAAATTATAATAAATAACACAAATAACAAAAGATAAAGAATAGAAGACTATCTAGAATAGAATAAGAAAAAAATGATTTGAAATCAAAAAGGATAGAATCTAACCAAGATATACTAAAATTCAATAAAATTTCACAAAAAACAATTAACTAAGTACTAAAAGAATATATGT